TATTTATTACCTTCTCTTACCCTAGGCCGCAGATGATGACCTGTTAATGGATTGTACTGAACAAAGGAAGATATCATCATTATCATAATAAAGGAAGATATCATCATCATAAAGGAAGATATCATCATCATCATCATAATAAAGGAAGATATTATCATTATCATAATAAAGGAAGATATCATCATCATAAAGGAAGATATCATCATCATCATCATAATAAAGGAAGATATTATCATTATCATAATAAAGGAAGATATCATCATCATAATAAAGGAAGATATCATCATTATCATAATAAAGGAAGATATCACCATCATAAAGGAAGATATCATCATCCTCATAATAAAGGAAGATATTATCATTATCATAGTAAAGGAAGATATCATCATCATAAAGGAAGATATTATCATTATCATAATAAAGGAAGATATTATCATCATAATAAAGGAAGATATTATCATTATCATAATAAAGGAAGATATCATCATCATAATAAAGGAAGATATCATCATTATCATAATAAAGGAAGATATCACCATCATAAAGGAAGATATCATCATCATCATAATAAAGAAAGATAACATGATAACAATAAATATTGTATTTTGAAAAAAAAAACAAACCAAATAACCAAAAACAACAGTATTTTTTACTCAAACTTTACCCAATACAAAGCACAATAGCCACTCAAGAGGGTTACTGAGTCCAATTTTTTTTTTCGGAGGAGTCATGGGGGAGTAATGAATAGCGACTCGGATCGAGGAATCGGAGAGCCGAGTTCGAATTCCAGTCGAATCCATTACATTCACTTACGTGCTAACATCCTTGGGAAAGGTATGAATCTTCTTCTCCCCCGCCCAGCCTTGGACGAAAGAAACTGGTCTAACGCAGAAAGAAATGGCAACCTACTGCCTCATCACACGTGACACATAACTGACGGAACTGAAGGTGAGTAAGTGCCGATTACGAGGATATGTAGGATAGATAACAGTAAACACTAGACTGGACACGGTTAAGATTGTTGTTCTTTTATTGCCCTGTTCACGACGTTTCGGCCTTCTCCAGAAATTGTCTATATTTCTAAGATAAGGTTAATGGAATAAATAAAAAAAGAGAATTATTTTTACAATCGATAATGCATTTCGACTTGAAATAACCCACAAAGGGTTGATAAGCCGTAAAAAATCAATTTCTCTCTCTCGCGCTCTCTATATATATATATATATATATATATATATATATAGTGGTACTCGTTTGGAAAAACTACGGATAGCTCACCTTGCAGATAAATCGTTACCCGAGGAAAAATGGGGAATAAAAAAGAAAGAACCAAGAACATTAAAACAAGGCGAAATCAATCGTCCAGTGTTTAAGCTCCAAGTCCAAAGAAAAAAACCAAACCAAAGGTTCGCCTGGCTCCTTAGGATTATCTTATATATATATATATATATATATATATATATATATATATATATATATATATATATATAAGCAAACAAATAAAGTGAAATATTCAGATTTATCTTCCCGACCCAGAGTTTCACAGAATTTACTCGTATACAATTGTCAGCGTGACCCGCTGATGATCGGATACCATTTCTGCAAAACTCTGAGTCGGGAAGATAAGTCTAAACGTTTTATTTTATTCGTTTACCAAGCATCAAAATTAAATTCTTTGATGAGGGGATAATTAGAAATCATACGGATTTAATGCTATTTAATGCAATGGTTAGCAAACTTGTCTTCTCGCTAGCTCAATTATGATTGAACAGTGAATTCAATCCTCACTAGGTGCCTCATACTTTCGGCCTTCTGCCACATATAAGCTACGCCACCACACAGGAGAGACCAACTCCTAAAAAGATGCTTCTCCGTTTACAAAAATCTTAACCTGTTCAAGTTTATAGTTAACCATTATCTTCCCAACATATCCGCATAAGCTGTACCTCTTACTCAGTAACCCTCTATCTCGAGTGGCTCTTGGGCCTTGTATAGTATGACCATTATTGTTAAAGAAAAATCGTCCAATTTCTCCTACCTCTGGCACAGTGCTTATTTTCAAATAATTATGGTATGCAAAAAGAAAGCTACCCCCAGTGGTAATTTAAAACCGATTTCATCTTACCGCGCGGCTATGATGTGCAGAGGTTTTATTTGGTGATACCCGGGGCTAACTCCTTGAATAACGTCTCGAATAGTGGTGGGTATAGGGCTAAAAACAGATGAAACAAGAAATAAACACTTTATTCAATTTAAATATAAATTAATTTTTATTTTACTCATTGATTAGACGCCCTCCCAATATGGATACCCGGGGCCGTCGTACCCTCTGCCCCACCTCTGCACGCTATTGTCGCTTGCTGAACAGAAAGTGCATTTTTTAAGTTACCGCGTCTTAAGGGGAAGCAGTGGTAATATTGAAATTGCTATTTACCTTCGTATTTTTAAATTACCGCGGGTTAAGGGGAACAGTGGTAATACTGAAATTGTTACTTACCTATATATCTTAAGGGGAAGCAGTGGTAATATTGAAATTGCTATATACCTTCGTATTTTTAAATTACCGCGGGTTAAGGGGAACAGTGGTAATACTGAAATTGTTACTTACCTACATATCTTTTAAATTACCGCGGGTTGAAGGGAAACAGTGTTAATATTGAAAGTGATATTTACCTTCGTATTTTTAAATTACCACGAGTTAAGGAGAAACAATGGTAATACTGAAATTGTGGCTTACATTCATATTTTAAAATTACGCGGGTTAAGGGGAAACAGCAACTAAAATTGATATTTACCTTCGAATTTTTAAATTATCGCGGGTTAATGAGAAACAGTGGTAAAACTGAAATTGTAGCTTACCTTCATATTTTTAAATTATCACGGTTTAAGGGGAAACAGTGGTAATATTGAAATTGTTATTTACCTTCGTATTTTTAAATTAACGCGGGTTAATGAGAAACGGTGGTAGTACTGAAATTGTTGCCTACCTTCATATTTTTAAATTATCACGGTTTAAGGGGAAGCAGCAACTGAAATTGATATTTACCTTCGTACTTTTGAATTACCGTGGGTTAAGGGGAACAGTTTGTATTTTTAACCCACCGCGGGTTAAAGGGAACCGTGGTAATACTGAAATTACTATTTACCTTCGTATTTTGAAATTACTGCGGATTAAGGGGAAACAGTTGTAATACTGAAATTGCTATTTACCTCAGTATTTTTAAATTACCGCGGGTTACGGGGAAACAGTGGTAATACTGAAATTGCGATTTACCTTCGTATTTTTATATTACCGCGTGTTACGGGGAAACAGTGGTAATACTGAAATACACGATTTACCTTGGTATTTTTTAAATTACCGCGATTGAGGGGAAACAGTGGTGATACTGAAATTGCTACTTACCTTCGTATTTTATTTGAAGTCGGGCAAATATGTCTTATACCATGTATAGTAGCCTCGTCGCAATACTGAAAAAAAATGTCCTTCATTGTTTTTTTAGGTGACTCTTTTTTCTTCGAAGTGTCAGTGTAAATTTGCCGAGTGGAATCGGAGTTCACCGAAAAATTACTGTAAGTATTTTGATAAGCTTCGCCATGTTCTTTATGTGCGAAAGAGTTCTCAAACCTCGTCATCGTCGATGGGTTTCGGCGCCAATAATTCTTGATAACAGAAAAAATATTTCCCTCTTTTTTTTCCTCCATTTGTCCCTTGTTTAGGAAAAACATCAAAATAATAATAATAATAATAATAATAATAATAATAATAAACAATGTTATCAGCTTTCAGTTATTGCCCGAGGAATTCTTTAAGCAATAGTGTCGAGCTGCAGGACTAGAAAAGTCACAGGGACGCTGGTTACAGCGAAAAATATGTAATTAGAGAGAAAAGATTCAGAAACGTTTTTCTAATTCGACACAATGGGACCAGTAATGAAAACTGTGAATTTCAATATGCTGACAAAACTTGTTCGGCGTTTACAAAGCTAGCAGTTTTGCGTCTGGAGTCAAGAATCGATCCTGTTATTCACAATGAAAAAGCAAGCAAGTCCCGCCTTAATGCGAAGATCCGAGACCCACGGAGAAGCGATTCAAAAAATATATATATTTCCAGTAAATAAGTATTCATATTAGATTCTTTCTTCATCATTTTTTCTCAAATAAAACGAATTGATTTTTTAAAAATTCGTTGCTATATGAGTTGGAGTAAATGAAAGTTTTCGTGAAACCCTTTGAAGTAGAAAAGTCTTGTAAGGTCTTGAGTTTATATGTTGTTATTTGAAATCAGCTTCATAAACTGCCGTAATTCGACCTTCCTTCCATGTGTTGAAACTAGATTGAAAATACAAAACATCCGTTGTATATAAAAAAGTGTAATTTTGTTTTTACATAACGCTTAAGTGGGTAGGACTTTGTGGAACAGACACCAGAGATGATCGTTTGCTTCTTTCATTAGTTTACGCATACGCATGCGTATAAAAGGTTACTCGGAGCTTTGTTGAGTTACTCCCACACACAGCCATATTAGATATTTATTTATTAAGCTGAGTACAATGTTAGATTGTGGTACAAACAAGGGAAAGAAGATGTATACGCCAGCGTATAGAAAATTGCTAGTACGTTTTATTTCCCCACACAGCCATATTTGATATTTACTAAAATTACTACAATGGTAGACTGCGGCGTGAATGAAAGAAAGTAAAATGCCGTAGTGTTGACCATTCAAATTAATTATTGCCTGCTTGTTTACCTTAAAAACCTACGGTTGAAACCAGAGTTTGTTTTTTTTTTGTATTTTTTGCACAAAGATTTGCAAACACTTGTCTTTTATCTTACTCACCTTGCTTTAGTCTGGCGCAAGGGGAGTTAGAGAGGATTCAACTCACTCCACTGTCGAAGTCATTGGAGACGTGGATGGTTTTCGTGACCCATTAAACTGATGGTGTTTCATGTTGAGTAATCAGCCTTCGTTATCTGACTCCCATAGCCTTCAAGTTTCGGTTATGGCCATTTCTCGGGGTGCAATGCTGAATAATTACTCTTCATGGTAACTAGCATGACATTAGGAGGTTAGTCGACGGTGTCCATCACCTCTCCAAGTAATATGTGACAGATTTTTATTTATATAGTACCAGTAACGAACAAGACTCAAGCTTTGTAAAGGCACGACATCTTGTTCTTTGCCCCAATTCTTTCTTTCTTTCTTTCTTTCTTTCTTTCTTTCTTTCTTTCTTTCTTTACTCCTGTCCTTTTTCTTTTTCGTATTTCATCCATGCACTTTTCCGACTAAATCCTTCTTTTTCTTTCTATCTATCTTTCTTTCTTTCTTTCTTTTTCTTATTCGTGTTTTCATTTATGCACTTTTCCGACAAAATCGTTCGTTCATTCGTTCGTTCGTTCGATCGTTCCTTCCTTCGTTCCTTCGTTCCTTCGTTCCTTCCTTCCTTCCTTCCTTCCTTCCTTCCTTCCTTCCTTCCTTCCATCCATCCATCCATCCATCCTTCCTTCGTTCCTTCCTTCCTTCCTTCCTATACTCCTGTCATTTTTTTCTGTTTTTATACCTGCCCTTTACAACTGAACCATAATTTCCTTCTTTGTATACTCTTCACCGTCTTTTTTTTTTCGTATTTTCATTCATGCATTTTTACGATTAAATCCGTCATTCTTTCTTTCTTTCTCATTTTCATTCATGCACTTTCCGATTAAATCTTTCTTTCTTTCTTTTTTTTTTATTCTTTGTTTCTTTCTGTATTTATTTATTTCTTTTTTTAAAGATTTTATTTACATGGTACCAGCAAGGAAAATGCTCAAGCTTTGTAAAGGCGCGGCATCTTGCTGTTCCCTCAATTTGTTTGTTTGCTTCTTTCTTTCTTTCTTTCTTTCTTTCTTTCTTTCTTTCTTTCTTTCTTTTGTTCTATATCTTGTATTCCTTCTTCATTTCTTTTACTTCGTTTTCTTTTCTTTCTTTCTTTCTTTCTTTCTTTCTTTCTTTCTTTCTTTCTTTCTTTTACTCCTGTCATTTTCTTTTTTGAGTTTCCATGCTTACACTTTCCCCACTGAATCATTTATTTCTTTCTTTCCGTTTTTGTTTTTCATGTTTTCATTTATACTCTTTTCCGACAAAATCCTTCCTTTTTGCTTTCTGTCTTTCTTTTTCATGTTTTTATACTTGCACCGTTTCTTTCGTAATTTCTTTCTTTCCTTGCTCCTGTCCTTTTTCATTTTCGTATTTTCATTCATGCACTTTTTCGACTAAATCTTTATTTATTTATTTTTACGCATGTACTTTTTCTTTTTCGTGATTTCTTGCTTGCACATTCCCCACTTTCTTTCTTTCTTTTTTATTTATTTATTCAATTATTTATTTTTGTCTTATATAGCATTTTCATTCATTCAGTTTCCTAATTAATTCATTGTTTCTTTCCATGCTTCAACCCTTTTTCTTTTGCGTATTGTCATTCCAGCATCTTTTTCACTAAATTTTTCTTTCTTTCTTTCTTTCTTTCTTTCTTTCTTTCTTTCTTTCTTTCTTTCTTTCTTTCTTTCTTTCTATACACAAACCCTTTTTCTTTTTCATATTCTCATTCTAACACTTTTCTCTACTGAATCCTTTCTTTCTTTCTTTCTTTCTTTCTTTCTTTCTTTCTTTCTTTCTGTCCATAATCCTCCCGTTTTTTCCTTCTTTGTTTTTCTTTCATTCATTCATTTCTTCATTCGTAGATTGTTTCTTTCGTACTTTCTTTCTATACACCTGTCCTTTTTTTATTTTCATCCTAGCACTTTTCCCACTAAATATTTTTTCTTTCTTTCTTTCTTTCTTTCTTTCTTTCTTTCTTTCTTACAAACTTTTTATTTTCGTTTTTTCATTCCATGACTTTTTTCATTAAGTTTTTCTTTCTTTCTTTACTCATGTCTTTTTCGTATTTTCATTCACGCACTTTTCCACCTAAAACTGGTTTTCATTCAATCTTTCTATTTTTCTTTTTTTCTTTTTTCTTTGTTTGTTTCTTTCTTTCTTTGTGTCATTTTTCTCATTTTCATTCATGCAATTTTCCGATTAAATCCGTCTTTCTTTCTTTCTTTCTTTTCTGCATTTTCATTTATGAACTTTTCCTGCTAATTCTTTCTGTGATTCTTTCTTTCTTCCTTTCTTTCTTTACACAAGCCCTTTTCCTTTTTCGTATTCTCATTCTAACACCTTTCTAAATAGATATTTCTTTGTATCTTTTTTCTTTCTTTACTCATGCCCTTTTTCATTTTCGCATTTTCATTCACTTCAACTGAATCCTTTTTTCTTTCTTTTTATTTCCATATACCTCTCGGTTTTTTTTTTCTTTCTCCTGTCATTTTTCTTTTTCATATTTTCGTGATCTTTCATTTTCATTCATGCACTTTTCCAATTAATTCTTTCTTTGTTTGTTTCTTTCTTTAATCCTGCCATTTTTACTTTTCTTCTTTTCATTTTAACACATTTACCTTTAAATATTTCTTTCTTATTTTTCCTTTTCTATATTTGACTTTTTCGCATTCATACACTTTTCCAACTAATTCTTTCGGTCATTCCTCGATTCTCACTCTTTCTTTCTTTCTTTCTTTCTTTCTTTCTTTCTTTCTTTCTTTCTTTCTTTCTTTCTTATTGCCTATTCAATAAGTTTATGTTTCTTTCTTTCTTTCTTTCTTTCTTTCTTATTGCCTATTCCATAAGTTTATCTTTCTTTCTTTCTTTCTTTCTTTCTTTCTTTCTATACCCAAGCTCTTTTTCTTTTTCGTATTCTCATTTGAACATTTTTCTCTATAAATATTTGTGTCTTTTTTCTTTATTTACTCGTGTCCTTTTTCATTTTCGCATTTTCAATCATGCACGTTTCCGACTGAATACTTCTTTCTTTCTTTCTTTCTTTTTTCTTTCTTTCTTTCTTTCTTTCTTTCTTTCTTTCTTTCTTTCTTTCTTTCTTTCTTTACTCCTGTTGTTTTCTCTTTTACGTGCCTCTATACTTTCTCTTTTCCATCGGAATCTTTCTTAATTTCTTTCTTTGTATCCTCCTCTCCTTTATTTTTTGTATTTTTGTTCTTGCACTCTTCCGATTAAATCCGCCTTTCTTTCTTTCTTTCTTTCTTTCTTTCTTTCTTTCTTTCTTTCTTTCTTTTTCTCATTTTCATTCATGCACTTTCCGATTAAATCCTTCTTTCTTTGTTCCTTTGTTCTTTTATTTCTTTTTTCTTCCTTTATATATTTCTGCTCTTTTTCTCGTTTCGTCTTCATTCGTGCACTCTCCGATTGGATCCTTCTTTCTTTGATTTTTCTTTCTTTATTTATTTATTCATTTATTTTTTTGCATTTTCATTCATGCACTTTTGAGACTACGTCATTGGTTCGTTGTTTCTTTCTTTTTTTCTTTCTTTCTTTCTGTTCTTTTTCATTTTCATTTATGCACTTTTCCGATGGAATCATTTCTTTCTTTCTTTTTTCTTTCTTTCTTTGTGTATTCCTCTCCTCTTCATTCATGCATTTTTCCGATTCAATACGTCTTTCTCTTCATACACTCTTCCGATTAAATCCTTCTTTGTTTCTTCGTCGCCTTACAACCTCCCCGGTTGTCCAAGATGTCCAATACCGCGGCAAATCCACGAAATGATCGCTTCGATCCAAGTTCTGCCTTATCCCACGTTGTGATTTGCTTTGATCATAAGGAGGCCAACATCGAACCGTCGTCAGGTCTCCCCGTATTGGGCTGGTCCAAGCAGGTCGAAGACGCAAAGAAAGAAAATAACTCTCAAATAATTAAAAAAAAAAAAAAAATCTTTATATCAAGTCCTACGTACAGTAATTGGTTCATTGTTGTTAAATCCAAACGTGCAAACAATTATCGGCCCAACCCGCTTCTAACTCAGACATGACACTTTGTTGACTTGGTAAAGTTTGTTTTACTGATTTGGTAAAGTTCGGCACAAGGTTCATGTCGGAGGTCCTCGTCAGCATATGACCACGTGGGTGTTTCACGTCCGGTTGCTGGAACACACTCTCTCTCACTCGATTCGGGGCATTCGTATTTATTGATGTTCGCCTAAACCAGCGCAGAGCACGACGCAGTTGGAGAATTCGGCGTTTCCCCCTGCCTGTCATCTCCATTATCTGGGTCCTGCATAATTTCGGGGAATTCTCCTCTTCCACGGGTGATGGTTACAGGCATTACTTCGCCCCATAACTTCCATTTTCTCTTATTATCATCTCCCACTAATCCTCCTCAGTTGGCGTGGGTAGCTCTTCAACCTTTCTTGGTAACTCATCTGGGCCTGCTACCTGGGCCACTCTCCGACCAGTAAAGATTAATTCTAAGTCCGTTGTTTACGGAGAAAAGTTTCCCATTCATAGCCCACATTTTTAGCTGTCTGTGTGGCCGACCAAGCGTCAACCATTGTTGCCATTTAACCTGTCGCAGTTCAAATCCACGTCAACCCTATGTGTTTCATGTCCAAAACCCCGACAACAAATTCAGACGGCTGTCTACATGAGAATTGAAATCTTCAAATTTTCCCACGGGGTTTATTTATTAACACTTCTTTTTTTTTTTCAGGGGTCTGTTAGTATATCGCTCCTTCTATTAAAAAAAAAAAAAAAAAACTTCTTATGATTACCAGTAACAAATAATGTGACATCTTTGTTTATTTATTTCTTTATTTATTTCTACCCTTTTTCTCATTTTCATTCGTGCACTTTTCCGATTAAATCCTTCTTTCATTTTTCTTTTTCGCTTGTTTGTTTGTTTCTTTATTTATTTCTTGATTCTCATTTTCATTCATGCATTACTCCTGCCATTTTTCTTTTTCGTATTTCATTCATGCACTTCGACTAAATCCTTCTTTCTTTCTTTCTTTCTTTCTTTCTGATTTTGTTTTTCGTGTTTTCATTTATACATTTTTCCGACAAAAAACTTTTTCTTTCTTTCTTTCTTTCTTTCTTTCTTTCTTTCTTTCTTTTTGTGTGTTTTCATATTTGCACTTTTCCGACTGAATCTTTCTTAATTTCTTCCTTTCTTTGCCCATATCCTTTGTCTTTTTCGTATTTTCATTCATACACTTTTCCGATTAAATCCTTCTTTCTTTCTTTCTTTCTTTCTTTCTTTCTATAATCAGGATCCTAATCAGGGGGAGTAATAAAAAAACTTCCTAAAATGAGCACACCAGAATTCATCCTTTCGACTACTCTTCCTTAAAGAACTCAATAATATAAAACTTACACTAATTAACAATGGCTTTCCTAACAACCTTATAGACCATTAAATTAGACTATTTCTCCCCAAAGTAAATAACAACGATAGTGAACATGCAGTCAAAAATTACATAATTATTTTCTACAAAAACCAAATGCACATTAACTACAAACAAAATGAATCTTCACTTGGAAATATTATAAAGAAATACACTACTCCAACTGACCCGAATAAAAATATCAAATTATATACTACAAAAAATTTAAAACAGCTAACCTTATCCTCAAAAATAACAACACACCAACAAAGTCAAATTTACAACGAACGAACATTATCTATGAATTCAAATGCCCTTTGAAGAACTGCGTTCCTGATCAAACCGAATTTATAAATAATTACATCGGTCACATGATTACATGCCTATCCAGAAGCCTTACGTTACATCTACCTGACCATAGCTCTATTAGAAGCCATTTAAACACACACACAAATTTACCAGACTCCACCCGAAACATACTAGTAGAAAATACAAACATAATAACATCATCCACATGTAAAAAAAAAAGACTAAAAATAATGGAAGCCTTAATAATAAAAAAGAAAAAGCCAACACTTAATAATATTAACTACGAACACGGCCACAAAGTGCTAACTGCGTTCGGAAAGTAAAACATCTCTATAACAGTAAAAACATACATGCAACGCACACACTCAATTAAACTGAATAAATAAAATTATCCTTGATAATGGCTAAAAGTATAGCCGAAAGCGCTCGAAATTATAGAACATTTGGACAGTTTCTACACACTCTGTGTCCAAAAAAGAAAACATTTGTTCAAACACAAGAAAAATTAAATAAAAAACGACAGACAACGTACTACAATTAGGAATTTTATTTAATTTTTCTTGTGTTTGAACAAGTGTTATATATATATATATATATATATATATGTATGTGTGTGTGTGTGTAGTCCATTCTGGCGGTTATTTTGTTTATTTATTTATTTAAATTTATTTATTTTACTCGTTTTAATTTATTTTCATTTTTTATTTTATATATTTATTTATTCTTTTCGGTTTTCGACGTTTTATTACGTAGTAAAAAAAATGAGGGGGTATCCTAAGGTCGCTTATTTAATAGTTTGTCTTGGTCTGGGAAGATAATTAAAGATATTTATTCGTCCAATTTTAGGATTGATTGCTATAGTCTATTATGTTATTTTGGCGGGGACAGTTTTTAATTTGTTTATTACTTTATTTATTTATTTGGATTGATTATTTTCCTTATTTTTACTTTTTTATTTTTATTTTTTACAACGGTTATTTTAGCGGGGCGGTTTGTTACTTTGTTTATTTAATTGGATTAGTTAATTTTACCTGTTTTTTTCTTATTTATTTACTTATTTTTTATTTTGTATATTTTTATTTATTCTTTTCGGTTTTCGATTTTTAAGTAACGTAGTAATTTTATTTTTTATCGTTATATAACAGTTATAGCTATTTTTTCGTCCAATTTTTGGATTGATTTTTGTAGTCTATTCTAACGGTTATTTTGGCGAGATTGGTTTGTTAATTTGTATATTATTTACTTTATTTGTTTGGATGGATTATTTTTACTTTTTTCTGTATTTATTTTTTTATTTTATTTCTTCTATTTCGACTA